TCTCGTAACCATGTTAAGCATGATTCCTTGAGTACATCAAATTCATTCCAACTATTAAGTTTATTTTCTAAAACTTCTATTGATGTTCTACAGGATAAAATTAATATTTTCTATATTTTAAAATGTATAATTGTTTAAAAATAAATGCAAATTAGTTGTCATTTGTTTATAATTGTGCGAAAACAAGCTAAAACATTCCCAATTTAAAAAAAAAGGGTTTGTTGAAATTTTGTAAAGAATACTTTTTATTTATATTAAGAATATTTGGATTATTCAAAAGGTGATCCTAATTGTCACAATACATATTTTATATGCATACAAATATGTGGGAAGCTTAGCATAACCTTTTTTTATTATAATAGAAATTATCGCACAATATTGTTTAAATTTTTAAATAATTCAAATATAATCATKCATACATTTTACGTATATATTTATTTCAACCATAAATTAATAGCTAATAAATTATAAATAAGTATAATTTAATAATAATATTATACTATTTATAACGATAAATATGAAATAGGTAAATAGGTAAATAATCAAACTTTTGATTAAATATACAATAAGCCTTCACATTAAATTTAAATGCATAGTACACAAGAAATAATTAGAATCTATTACACATAATAAATAATGATGATAATTATTTTTGATATTATAGTATTATACCATAGCCCATAAGTAACAATGCGCAAACTTAATCATAATATACAGATTTTAAATTAAACATAAATATTCTAAAACATTATTTAAAATACCCACAATAAGAGCTCTGTCTCTTTATCTGTAATATATAATTTTGTTAAAAAAAAAAATGCCAATTCACCAAATTATAACGAAAAATCTAATTTATTGAAAAGCGTTTTATTATAATAGTATATTATAATATTATATATACTCACTTTACTGTTGTCACGAGTCCTTCCCAATCTTGTTGTGAAGAGTCAATTTGAGCCCTAATATTTACTTGACCATTTTCAATGGTACCAGGAATAACTTTTTCTGCTAGTTTTTGTATATTATAAATCCTATTTTCTTCTTCAGTAAGGCTTAATAACAAATTCTAAACAATATGATTATATAATCAATAATTTAGTAGGTATAACATGTTTAAAAAGTCTTAAAAATTTCTATATACCTTAATTCTGTCCAAGTTGCTCAATAAAGATATCTTTTCTAAATTTGTATCACCCCAGAGCATCAATGTATTATGTGTTGCATCAAGCCATTCTTGCATTTCCATTACAGATTTAGTATACTGTTCATGGTCATTTACAATTGCTTCATATTTGTCTACAAAATCTTGAATTTGTTTTAAAATGTCATCATGTTGTTTACTCATGGATGATAAAAGAATATCATTATTTTCTTGCATTTGCATGTTGTCAATTAAGTCCTGTAATTTTACAATATCTTGCTTCCTCTTTAATGTGGCTTGGAGCATATCTCTGTATATTTGTAACTGCATTTTCTTTTCGTCCAATGTAGATTTGAGCACTAAATTCTTATTTAATAGTTTTTTTGTATTGTTGAACCATTGGTTTAGTTCATTGTACAATTCTTCAAATCCACCCCATTTGGTAAGTTGATCTTTAACTTCTCTGYTGGTGTTCAAAAGATCATCGTACACAGTGTCGAATACATTTTGAAGTTCATCCAATTGACCTTTTATATTTTCTCTTCCAGATGTAGATGTACTCAAATATAATTTTTCTCCTAATTCCATACAGCTATTCAATAAACATGTTACATTTGACTTTGTATCCAATAATTCATTTAATTTTCCATTTTTCTGAATTAAATATTGATGAGCTTGTGATGGAAATAGGTGTTTATTTAAGTTTTTAAATTGACTTTGAACATTTGAAAGTTGAATTGAACATTCGTTGTATTTATCCACATATTCTTGATGGATTTTAATTGATTCATTACATTTATTTAGTATGTCCTTTAGATATAATTATAATAAAATATAATACAAATTAATTTCAGTTATTAAATGATTTATTATATATTTTACCTTTATTGTAGTTTGCATTGATTGATAACGAGATGATATTTGTTGTACTTTGGTTGACAGTCGTTTTTCTCCAGTAGATTCATACTCATTTGATTTATCAAGTTTGTCTACATCTAAAACTTTCTTTTTCATATCATCCATTAACGACTAAAATGTTTATGGAAAATTATCAATTTAAATTAAGTAATATGTTTTAATAATTTTAATAATCATATAACAAAATTATATTTTATAATTTACTTAATATAATATTAATTATCAAACATTTATCTGTATATTTTTATATATTTATTTTACTTCATAACAATGTTAGTTAATTACATAGTTCATGTAATATTTGTTTATACACACATAAATATGTCTTACTTGTTGAAGATGATCACCAAATGCAATTAAATCTTTCACCAAATTAGATTTTCCTTTAATTTCTTTTTCTAAATCCTAGATATGTTTAAAAGACAGAATATTATTCTAAATTTTCATTTGTTTTTTGTTAAATATTTTTAAATTATGACTTTCATGTAGGTACCAAATAAAAGTTACCTTGTATTAAAGAATTTTATACTTTTATAAATGATATTTAATTAAAAAKTAATTACTTGAAATTTATTATATTGCTGAGTTTTTTCTTCAAGAGTACCCTTTTCTGAATAGTTTTGTAATTTTTTTTCAGTATCATTGTGCCAAGAAATTAATTGTTCCATTAAGTTTTCAAACTCAACCCATTGATTTATTCGACTTTGTAAACCTTCTAATAAATCATTTAACAATGATTGGAACTTTTCTTGTTCAAATCTATAACATAATTGATTATAGTTATACCGATTGAGATCATTTTATAATAAATAATTTAAATATTTTACTGTAAATTTGTATGATCTCTCAACATTGTATCAATTGCTTTTTGTGGAACTGTATCTTTAGAGTTTTCTACAAAACGTTCCATTGTCAATAAAGTTGTTTTATTGTTATTGAAAGTAGTTTGTATAACATTAACTTTATTTAATCGTGACTCTAAAATTTGTTTGTTCCCTGAATAATCTAAAATGATGTATAGTATTAGTATTATTATAAAACAAAGTCAATATAATAGCAAGTTTGAATATACCTGTATATATTGAGAGTTGGTCCCAAAGCTGTTTTTGAGTATCTTGGTATGATTTGTATAAGTCCTGATATTGTTGGTAAGTTTCTAAGTAGTTTTCAAGTAGTGAAATAGAATTATTCATTTTTTCACGCAACAAATCATATCTTTCCTTCAATGACATATATGAATCAGATTCGTTTTTAGGCTTCTTTATTGTTTTCCCTTTCTCCATTATTGTTTCTATCATACGACTATGTGAATTTATTTCTTGCATTGTTGCCTATAACGTTATGAAATGTTAGATATTAAGTAAATAACTTTTAAAATTAAATTGGAAACTAATTTTCTAGTATTCATTTACTACTTTCTGTCAATACCTTTTGCTTCAAAAGTTTTAACCTAATTTCTTGTGGAGAAGACCAAATGGGAGACTGGTTAGATGCAATTACTTTTTCCATACTTTCCAACCAATTAATAGTTTGTAAAAGAGTTTCTTGATAACTATTCCATTGTTGTGATTGGAATCCTAGTGTTTTTTGAGCTGTCTTTACTTTTTCATCTAATGTGTCCCATCTATATGACACAAATTATAAGGTATTACATATATTTTTATACCTAAACCTATGTAATGATTAAATTATTTATACCTTTCCCGGATGTCTTTGAGTTGTTGACGAATAGTTTCTCGCCCAGCAGCAGATGTATCAGGGTATAAACTTTCACCAAGAGACGTTAATAATGATATTTTTGCCGACATTTGATCAGAACTACCATAAATATTTAGTAATTGTGATAGTTTTTTATTTAAATCTAAATCATCATTATCCAGGATTTGGGCAGGTTTGCTTTCTAAAGTTTCTAACCATGACTTGAATTCAGCAAATTTGTTATTGAAATTTTTATGATCATCAGTAATATTTTGCCATTTAGCCACAATTTCTTTACTTAAAACTAGAATTAATTGGTACCTGTAACAAATTGATATGAGTAGGATTCTTATTTAAATGCACTAATATTACCATACACAGTGGCGGTCCTTGACCAATTCCAGGGGAGGGGAGAGCAAAATATTTTTCACATTAAAGTAAGTACTAAAGTACTACTAAGTACTCAAAAATAGAAGTCATTAAAAAATTTATTTCATCTAATAATTTTATATTTAACTAAGGGGGGCGATCCCTCCATCCAGGACCGCCACTGACCATACAAATATGCTCTAAAAAATAGCCAAAAATGCCCTTAACAAATGAATTTTACCAAAGAAATGGCCTGAAAATGCTATATTATATTTTTTTGTTCACACAGTTTGGTATTTTAATTTGTAATTTATAAATCAGATATAATAATTATTTATTACTTTATTAAAAAAATAAAACTGAAAATTAGAAAAATTGAGTAGATGGTGCAATGATATTTTGGGGCAATATTATTTATTMTAAAATTACCAAAATATACAGTATTATAATAGGTTAAATTTATATAGTATATTTAACAAACAAAAAATAAAAAAAAACATCGAAATATGCAAAAAATGCAAAAATGCAAGATAAATTCATTGAATGAAACAAATTATGTACTTAGAAAGCATTGTATAAGATCAACCAAAAAAGTATGAACTTTGGAATGAAATCCTGGACTTAGTTATAAGGCATAAATAAAATGGAATTATTTTATTTGTATATTGTTCTTACCGGTTTCCAACTTGGAGTATAAGTGGCTTTAGACGTTCTACTCCACTTGTATGTAACAAGTTATTTGAATTATCAATAAACTTTTCTATTTTGGGCTCATAACTTAATATTTCGTTTCGTTTATCCACAAAAAGTTTCAATTTATTTTCTTTATTTTCAAACGTTGATTGTAATTGTTGATCTTTAATAATTGATTCTGTTAATCTAAACCAGTTTGTAATCTCATCAAATTCACTTTCAAAATCAGTCCATTGAATCAGTATTTCTTCCATCTTTTCAATGATGGTATCTAGAATAAAATATATTTTATTACTAATAAATTTAAATATTGGGTATATTTTAACTTATAAAAAAAATTACCAAGCTGTATTATTAATTGTGATTTATCACTATCTATTCTTGATATTTCTTTTGACATAACATTAATTCCTTTCTTTGTGGTTGTTTTGCTAACCAATTGAAATACCTCTCCAAGATGATTTCGTAATTCATTTTCAGTTGTATTTATTGTTTTCATTTCCTATAGTTAGAAATATTAAAATTATTAATGGAAATGATTAGGTCATTAATTTGCATATATTTACTTTAAATATATTAAGTTTCTTAACAATATTGTCTTTTTCTGCAGCAATACTATCATTTTCGCGAATTTTATCACGCTGTTCTTTTAAAATCAATTTAAGTTTCTGACAAACTTGATTGAATTCAGAATGATTTTGAACAGAAAGCTCTAGTGAATTCATCAACTCCTAAATATAAATATATAGATTCAAATTAAATTATCATAATGGTAAAATTTTAATTAATTTTTCTATTTACCTTAGACTTAGTAACAATTTTTTCATAAAGATTTTTGATTGATTCTAAATATGTGTTTAAAGTGTTATCTTTAGTTTGATTCACGAGTTCTTGAGCTTTGTCACACACTGATTGTACAAGATTTTGGTGAGACAATATTTCTTGGTTGATAACAATATGGTTCTAATTTAAACAATTAATTAAATGGTTAATATTTGTTAATATCTTAGTTTGAATTTAAACATAAAGCATATACCTGAAGTTGAGCTTTCTTTTCTTGTAAAGTAGCTTTTGTTTCAGTATGTTGTTGCATTGCATGCTCAATATTTTTCAGCCATTTTGTCAGTTGTTCTTGTGATAGAGAAAATTCAGCAAATTGCAATAAACAATTATCAAGTTTGTTTAAGCTGGATTGCAAAGTCTCTGACACTAATTCCCATGCATTTCTCAAATCCCTAAAATCAAAATTAATTAGTATTTTTCGCTAATAGTTTAAAAATTACATCAGTACTTCATATTTTGGCGAATTACTTCTCTTCCGTCTGGAGAAGTTTGGGCATATAATTTTTCCGCCATATTAATAAGAGACTCATAATGCACACTTTGTTGGCATTTTGAGTCTGATAGTGACAACAGTTTCTTTTGTCTTGCCTTAATAATAATAATAATAATAAAATAATTTAAATTTAAAAGTTTAAAAATTATATTTCATTATGATTTACTTGTAGAAGTCCTAAATCGCCAACAACTTCACTGTAATTGTTTAGTTCTTCTGTTAAACATTTAACTAATTCAATAAACTCTTCATAACTTGAATCAAAATGCTTGTGTTCTCTTACAAAATTTTCATACTTTAATATTGATTCCTAAAATAAATTGTTATTTTATTATTTAATTCCATTACTTTTATTACATTAATACCTTTGTTCTGGTTTTAACATTCTGATAAGTTTTTATTAAATTAGTAATCGCACTGTTAACATTGGGTGAAACTTCAATAGTTTCAGATTGTATTTCTAAAATCTCCTTGTGTTTTTTTGTAATATCTTCGTCAAATTGTTTCAATTTTTCTAAATATTGTTGTTTACTTGCTAATGCATTTTTTAGGCTTCTATCTTTGATTTGTGTTTCAATTGATTTTAAATATTTATCCAGATTTTCAATTTTTGTTAACATTTTATCATTTTGATTTTGTTTTTGGTTTAACATTTTTGAAGTATTTTCACAATTTAACATTAAGCTTTCCCAGCTAATTTTAATTTCATCAAGTTCATTCTGTATTGCAGTCTTACCATCTACATCAGTTTCTTTTAATACAGTACTTCCAATTTGTCTACATTTTTCTAGTAGTAACTCTCCTTCAGATTTATGTGAAATTATATTCATAAACACACCAGAATCAGTTTCTGAAACATTGTTCACTGTAACTGAATATTCGTCTTGTAACACCTTGAGATAATTCTTAAAAATTTCTACATTTTCTAAATACGATTCATGATTTTTTAAATGTGTTTCGTTTAATTTCAAACATTTATTTACTCCTAATTCAATATTGTCATATTTTTTCAAAAAATCTTTCAGTTTTAGATCTATGTCTGGTTCATTTAATTGAGTTACCTTTTCTTTCAATTGATTAATATTATCTTTATATGTAATCAAATCTTGTTTCAATGTTTTTAAATTATGGCAGTTAGTTTTTTTGTCTATAACATTGTTTTTCTTTAATTTTTTACAATCATTGAATTTTTCTTCTGTTTCATGAAGCCAATTTTGAATTTGACTACAGCTTTCATCAAAAGATGATTTTTGTACTAAAATGTTTTCAATTTTTTTTGTTATATTTCCACATTCATCATTTAAATTTTCACAAGCTAATCTTAATTGCTTAACTTTGGATCGTATTTCATCCCGATTTTCCATAGTTATATCAGGGTACATACATTCACCTTTCGATACTGTATCATTTACTAATTGTTGACTTTCTTCAAGTTGTTTATTAAGATTTTTCATAATTCCTAAATTTGATTGGGCATTTTGAATAGATTTTTTACCAGAAGATTGAGTGGTTTCAATTGATTTCAATTTATTATTTAATTCTTCTGTTAACTTATTAGCTTTTTCAAACGAAACATTAAATTCTATTTTCATTTYTTTTAAATGTTTTATTCTTTCCAAACATTTACTGATGCTATTTTGATAAGATTCTAACTTTCGTTTAATTTTTATAGCTTGATTATCTAACGTTGACTTACTATCAATGCATTTGATATTTTTGACACAAGTTTCAAGTTCATTCAAAAATTGTTTAGCTGTATCAACATTGAACTGGAATTTATTTACATATTCTTCAATAACATTTAACGAATTCATGTCAATAGGAATTTCTACAGACATTTTTATATCATTTTCTAAAACATTTACTAATGGAAGGATATTATCCAGACATTTTTGATATTCAACCCATAAATTTATAATTTTTTTAAGAGTATCCTTYACTTTGTTTATTTGTTTTTCAGTGCTYTCGAGGTTAACACTTAATAGCTCATCTTTGTTGTTTAATTCTTCCAAGTCTATATCTGATGATGAATATTGATTGAGGTATTCTAAGACATGATCTATTTTAGATTTTTGTTCTTTAATCACTGATAAGTTTCCTTTGATACCCTCAACAGATTCAAGTTTAACTTCTATTTGTTCTTTCTCAATTTCTTCTTCAGGCTTACACCATGTTAGCTTTTCATCAATACCTTTTATCGAATGTAAAAGATTATTCAAATCATCTTTCAAATGTTTTTTTAAATATGTCATTAATGTTGTTTCAACTTTATCAACCTGTTGAACAACACTTTCATATCGTTTCTTAAGACTTTTTAATTCCTTAATTGCTGTTGATTCAACAATTATAGGAAAAGTTTCAGTCATTTCTGATACTGAATGGTTAACAGTGTCTATGTTCAAATTCATTTTAATCAATTCATTTTTGCATTTTTGRCAAGATTTTAAATTATTCAATAATGTATCTAATTCATTGTTTAAGTTATCACACTTATTAACATTTTCTCGTATTTGATTAATTTCAAAAGTACGTTTCTTAATTTCAGCTCTTATTGCTTCTTCTCGTTGAGAAAAAGTAGTAATTAGACGAACTAAATTACAAGCAATACTTTCAACGTCATCAAATTGATCATTAATCAATACTCTTAATGAATCTAATGTTATAATAGGTTTATTTCCATTAAGTTTTTGTAATTTACTTATTTTTTCATTAAGATTATTTTTTAAATCCAAATTCAGGTTTTTTTCTTCTGAGTATTTAACGAGCTTGTTTTTAATTTTTTCAATGTCATCTAAATTGTTTGTGCAATCTAAAAGTTCAATGTTTACATCCGATAACCATTGTAAAATACTATCTTTGGTTTGATTTACTTGTTTCCAAATTACTTGTTGAGAATGTGCAATTTCAGCTTTTTCTTTAAGGTCAGCATGATGTTTTTCCAAACTCTCTATGTCTTTTTTGTAGATTTGATTAAATTTTTTAACATTTAACTGTGGATAATTTTCAGCTAATGTCAACATTTTTTGCACAGTTTCTTCAGTTACAGGTAATACATCCAGTAAGGCTGTACATTGTTTTAATGCTTTGTTATATTTATCTTCTATTACCTGAGCCTCAGTTAAATCATTTGGTGTTTCTATCGATTCTAAAATATTTTTACATTCTTCTTTAGTTGTCTTTATTTTATTTAAAACATTGTTCATATTTAACCAATTATCGTTCAATTCTGTTAAATTTGCAATTGACTGTTCAATCTTAGTTTTTAAATCAATCAACTCTGAGTTTACATCCAATAAATTATTTTGCACAAATATCGAATTACTTTTGTCTAGCTGAATTAGAATTTCACCTTCTTTTTCCAAAGTCTTAAGCTGTTTAAATAGTTCACTTGTGTCTTTTAATTTCTGTAGTTTTGGAATTACAAGAGCAATATCTTTCCACGATTTTAATGTCAATACGTGATCATTAACTTTACTGTCTACTATTTTAATTTTTTTCACCAAATCATCATTTATTTCACTGACTATTTTTTGACAATCCTTTACTTTCTGTTCATTTTCTTCTTTTGATTTGAGTTTCCCCCTGAAATAGTTATTAAATACATATTGAAATATAATATTTTTTTTAATATCTTATAACATAATATATTTTACTTACTGAATTTGTTCCAATTTCAATTGCAACTGTTCAAATTGATCTGCAAATGATAATCCAGGAATAGTAGTTTTACTTTGTTGTAATAATTGTTCAATTGAAATTATATTATTTTTCCATATCTCTACTTCCTTAGAACATGCGCTTATATCACTTATTAGATTAATTTTATCTTGATTTGTATCAAACTGAAATTCAACATGCTTCAATTTTCCTAATAATGTTTCATTCCAAATTAAAAATTCATTTGCTTTTTCAAGTAAAATTTTTTTCTTTTGCATTAAATCTTGAAGTTCCTACAAAATAAAAATAAAAAGTATAAATTAATAGTTAAGAGAATATTATAAAATTAATTATATAGAACTTACTTTAAATTGCATAATCAATTGCTTTACTGAATCACTATCATCAAAATCTTTAAAATCTTCTTCAATTTCAGTAAATAATGACTGTTTTTCCAAGTGTTCTTCAGTAAACGTGTGAAGCTTTTTCAAAATTTCTTCAATTGAAGTACTTGGAACAACATTGCATTTATTTACTTTTGAATCCAATTCAGTTAACCATTCACAAAATGTGTTTAYTTTGATTTTATGTTCTTTTCTAAAAATATAAACATTTCCATTTCTCGATACCATAGAGTACAGAATATAGGTTATAATAATTAAAGTACTAAAGTTAAAAAATAGTTAATTATTGAGGCAAAAAAATCCAATGATTCTTCCTCATTAGGTTATAAGCATATCTACTATCTATGTTAGGGAATAATGAATGCACAATAATTAGCTTTAATTATGAAAAGCTTTGGACATACTATTTGTAATTCCAGAAGCATCCAGAATTTATCTTATTTTTCAAAAATACATTTAATAAAGCTATAACAGAATGATAGTATAAATAATTATAGTTATTTAAAACAATTATAAAATTATGCTGAGTAAATAATTATTTTTAAAAAAAACTATAATTTAGGTAAATTATTACTTATTAATAAAAACTTATATTATCCACAATGAACTAACTAAAATTATATATTAAATGTATATAGATCTATCATAGATAATATTGTACATACAGTATACATGCAGATATAATGTGAATTAGGTTTTAGTAAAAAACAATAATAATATAGATACCAATCTTAAGTTAACCATAATATCATTTTTACATTATAATATTAGAAAAGTTATTAAATATAAAAAAATTCAATTTATGTACTTGTTTGAAATAATTTTGGAAATTGTTTGCATTTGTTCATGCATTAGCTTTAAATATTCATTATTTTTGGCCTTTAACGTAGACAATTTTTCCTTAATATCACTGGTAGTTTCAAGTGAAAAATTTTGGTTTAATCCATTAAGGGTTTGTGAGAGACCAGAAATGTCACTAAGACATTCATTAAGTTCTTGTGTTAATGCCTAGAATTAACACATAATGTACATAAGTATATTCATTTAAGGTAGAAAATAAAATAAATAATCATTAGTTCAAACCTTATGTTCCATTAATTTTTTTTCGAGTGAATCTTTTGAAATTGATTGATTTAAATTTAATTCCTTCAATTCAGATAACAGCGGTTGGTTTAATTTTTCTTCTATTTTTTGAGCTTTTTCATTTAATTCATTCCAGTTAGATAACAATCTTTGTAGACGAGTAATTTGTTGTACTGCCGATGACTGTACAGATATACAACGAGACTGAATTGCATCTACTTCATTTAAAATAACTGGTGTCTTGTTCTCAGAAGTAATGGTTTTAAGATTTTCAATTTTTTCTTGGCACTCCAAATTGATCAACTAAAAAATATCAAAATTATATTAGAACTCAAAGTTTATCTTTAGACTTATATCTAAAGACTATCTTTGATTTTAGCATGACATACTTGTGTATCTTGTAGCCAATCATTAGCCATTTGCAATGTAATTGGTTTTATCTGATCAGTATTTATTATTTTTTCAGCATTTTCTAACCAATGTCTAATTTCTTCTAACTTTGCTTTATGAACTTGCCATTCATTAAGATCAATATTAATTTCTTCATTCTTACGATTAGTATTGCACTCCAAATTTAAAATTGACATTCTTACTTCATCCAAATCTTGTCTGAGTTTTTGTGTTTCATTAGTATCACTTTCTAAAAATAATTAATAAAATAAATTCATAATTAAGTTTTTATTTTCAAAATGGTTGATGTGTAGTATGAGGCTTAATATTTTTGCAAACCTTTTTAAATATGCATGGGCTGTAGGTTATGAAATTAATAATATAAGTTGTTATTTAAAAATTATAAATCAATAAAGTACTTTTAACAATCATCTGTCTTAATCAACATTTAAARTAATTTACCTTTCTCAAAACTATGTAAATCTTCTGTTAAGCGTTCTAAGCTATTTCGCTGTTTTTGGAGTTCATCTTGAACTTCTTCAATTCCCCGAGCCTTAACTTCAGGATTTGTTTGGTCTTGTTGTATTCTTTCTATAACAGCAGGAGCAGATTCAACAGACCAGACATGAATTTTGTTTAATCCTGAATCAAGTTCACATAATTTCATTGAGAGTTTTTCTAATCTTTGTGTTTCTTTATCTACTGTTTGAATTGTTTCAGTTAATTTATTTTCTATCATACTAATCTGTAAAATAAAAACAAAAACAAAATAAAATGTAGGTACAATAAATAATATTTAATTCAAAACTAGTTAATAAATGAATTTAAATTAAATTTAACAGTAACAATTATTAAAAGATTATATAAAATTACTTCATTTTCAATTGCAAATTCTTTTTCAGGAATATATAAGTTTTGTGATATATCTCTCAATTTATTTAACATATTTTCGGCTGCTTCCCGTAAGGCAAGACTCAGTTCTTGTTTACTTCTCAATTGCATTGAAATTTCTTGTGAATTATGTTTATCATCATCAGATACTGTCTTTAATTCATTTTCAGCTTTTTTAATTATTTCCATAACTTCATTTTTAGTTTTTGTATATTCTATTAATAGCTTTTGAGCATTTTTTAATTTATTGAATTTATCAATAGAATTGTTATATACAAGACTCCAATCTGTTTCCAATTTGGAAACTAGTTGAGGAATAAAATTTGGAACACAAGATGAATTTTTCACTAATTGTTTTCCTCGTTGCAATGTAGACATTACAATCGTTCGTTGTTTATTGAGTACGTCAATTATTTGTTCCTGATTTTTAATGAGTTCACTTAAATCATCCAACGATTCTCCTTTATTAGCAAATTGTTCATGTTTGGCATTTTCTAAAATTTTTCCAATCTAATAACAAAATTAATGTAAATAAATAAATTAAATTTTGAATACATACCTATATAAAAAATATATAAAATATATAAATTTACTAACTTCTGTAACCTCTTTTTTGTATATAAAGCATTTAGTGAACATCTCAGTTTTAGTAATCGTCATGTCTATAGTTGGTATTAAATGTTTATATCGACCAATTAATTCTTCAAGATTTTTTTGTTCTACTTGTTGCTGTTCTCCAGATACATAAGGTAATAGGCTATCTAGTACTTGAACCATCCATTTCATATCATCACGTTTACTATCTACATCGCGACAAATTTCCTGAAAACAAAATTTATTTTACATATAAAAAAAAGTAATAAAATATTAATTAAATTTAACATTTACTTGGAATATAGATTTTTCTTTTTCAAACTCTTCGTCATTTAAAAGTCCTTTTAATAATCTTTCAACACTTAAATCAACTGCATTCATCCATTTTTCTAGATTATTAAATTTAGATTTATAATCTTGAAGTTGATTAGGTATTTGTTTACACTTTTGTCTTATTTCTGAAGTTCTTTTTTCTATGCTTTCAATTCGATTAATTGATTTCTTTAGACTTGAATCAATAGATGGATTTGATATTTTTTTACTTTCGACAAACATATTATTTAAACATGTTTTAAGTTCTTTAACTATCATACCATTATCAAAATATTCCTAAATACCATTTAACAAAATTAATGATCGATCATAAAATAATACAGTAAATTCCACTTACAATGYTCCTTTTGAGTATCAAGTTTACATTTTCATTTCTATTAATCATTTGTTGCTCAATGTTAAGTTCTTTTTCTGCTTCATTTATACATTGATTGAATGTAATTTCGTTTATTTTAAATTCAATTCTTTTCATGTATGCTGGGACCATACTTAAACATTCCTATAAACAATATAAATCAACATTTGCTAATTGGTTGTATAATGACTATAATGCAATATTAGGTACTTGATATTTTAACTTTATTTCTTTAGATCTATTTCTTATTATTTCTTGTTCACTTGGTAAGATACATCTAAGTAATTCGCCTTCAACATTTTCTAACTCAGTAATCCATTTATTATTATTTGAATACTCAAAATACCCCTAAAAAATACAGTTTTTATAAACATCATCTAACATTGGATAAAATGTATTTTTAATTAAACTTACTTTTTGGGATTCTAAATTTTGTCTTGAACTTGTTTGTTCCTCTAAAAATATTTGGTTACTAGTTTCAATCCAATCTAGCATAACTTTTTCTATTTCAATAAAATTATGCCAACATCTCAAAGTTTGTTGTAATTTCTAAAATAAAAAAAAGTGTAGATATTTTTTTTTTAACAACTAAAAATATTACAATATTATATTTTCTATTTTAAATATAACCATATCATATCATACCATATCCCATTGTTGACATTCTTGAGTTATTCTAGAAAATTTAGCGTTCAGATCAGCCATTGTTTGTACAAACTCTGAATTATTTCCTTGATCTTTCTCTGGTTGAATTGATTTAATAATGCTTTGGAATATTTTATTCTTGCTCGATAACATAGACTGATAATACGACATGCGTACTAAAATGCTCTAAAATTAAAATAGAACATTGAATTAAATTTTAATATAATTATAAACTATAAGCACAACTTACCTTTAAGTATTCAATATCTTCATGTAATTCTTTTTGACTTTTACTTAGTTTTAATGTGGACAAAAATTCTTCACAATTGTTTAACCAATGATTTATTTCTTGTTGGCCTGTTTCAAGAGCGTCATATTGAACAAGCATATGATGAAGAGCATTTAAATGTACAGGTATGCTTGCTCTAATATTGACAAGAGATTCTATAAACAGTAGGTACAGAATAAATCAAAAACTGATAAAGGTATACAATATGTAAATGTGATAAAATATTTTTAATTTGTCATGTTATTATTTTTTTTCCTTACATTTATACCTTATAAGTTAAAATGTTTATAAAAATTGCATAATATGTACACAATTATGTGCTCTTTAATGCACAATATTACAATTGCAATGATATTATATTAGTAAAATACATTTTGAAACGGAAAAAAAAGTTTTAAAAGTCTATGTCTGGATTAAGGTGAAATTTAGGGGTAGTCTTCACAATGTTTTTTTTTTTTTTAAATTAAAATTGGGAAACCAAATTTTTCATAGTCTACTAGCAATGTAAGTCTTAATCTAGGCCCACTACCACCAGTACCTCTATAAATTGTAAATTTAACATAGAAATGGTTATGAAAAATAAACCTTGAACAGCTAGTTCTATTTAACACCAGTTAAATTAAAAAAAGAAACAGGTCAATAAAAATTTTAAAACCATAATATCTTTCTTTTTTGTTCAAAATATAAAATAATGAAATATATTTTGTATGTCTTATACATTTATATTAAATTGACTTGCCTTTTTCTCTTTTAACGCTTAACATCATCTCATTGACTTCGTCCCTTGTTAAATCTTTTATTAACACTTGAAATTTTTTACTGATTGCTTTAAAAAGATCATCCATTTGGTCCAATTGAGATTGAAGACCCTACAAAACATTTTATTTAAATTACAATAATATTCTGATTATTATATTAAATATTTTTTATACTTGGATGTCACATAAGTAATCTTTAATTTTTTGGGATGAACTCAAATGTATTGACGACAAAATTTGTTCTGCTCGTATATTCCATTTATGTAATGTGTCCAAACCTTCTAAATATTCTTTACGATTTCTAATCATGTCACCAGAGTGCATGTAATCTTTAGCTTTCTATAAAAAAACATTGTTTATATTGTAATTTCTATTAATTTTTCTAAGTTACTTATTTGACTTATTTGATTTTATTCTATTTACCAAAAATATACTTTCCCACATAGCTGTAATACTTTGGAACTCGTGTTTTAATTCAGCACAAATTGAATCTTCACATGTTGCAATTAAAAAGCTTACAGTATCATTAAGTAATTCATATTTTTCCTTCCAGACACCAATATCCTATAGACAAAGCATAATTCATTTAGTTTCAATTTCATAATTTATAAATAAACTAAAGTTAACTTAAATACCTGAAAAAAATCAATCCGTTGCTCGTGTGGCAAGTTCAATTTTTCAACAGCATCCACAAACCATGCTTTCATATCTTCAGATAATGATTTCCACCGTCTCCAGTATGATATTACTTCTTCAAGCATACTCTGTGCACATCTCAGCTCCATTGCAATACTTTTCCATTGTTCAGCAGTTTGTCTCATGAATTTTTCAATTGCAATCATTTCTTTATACTCTATACGACATTCATGTTTATACTCTTGTACAACGTTTTGCATATCTATGAACGCCTTATTAAATTCTTGAAATATATTATTTCCTATAACGAAATTGTTGTATTTCTCGAGAAGCAGTAAAACATCCTGATGACGGCCATATTTAACAGTCCATGCTTTTAGTTTATTTTCGGTCAAATTTAAAAATGCAATCAAACAACACTAAAATAAATAAACTTTCTGTCATTTTTACAAGGTACATGCTTTTAGTTACATTTTAGTCAATCAAATTTATGCTTTAATGCTTGCAAGAATTTTAACTTGATTTTTTTTATCAATAAAATATTATTTTAGTTGGTTTATAAGTTATAAAAAGTAGGTACCTACCTTGTGTTCTAAAAATTTTAGATAGGTTCGCCGTTTGTGTGAATCTATTTCAATGTTATTGAGACGTCTTGATAGTTCATGCACTTCTTTGTTTTGGTTTTTAGTTTTAACCAACAGCTCGTTGAATTTTTGTTGAACTTCAGGCAAATCAGCAAAAAATGTCTATATAATTGATGATGTTTAAATTAAAACGTCTTTAAAATATAAATAAATTTATACTTTATGATCTTCCAGTTTTCTACTAATTATAATCGCAGTTTCTTCGTTCATGATAGATGGGATATTGTTGTCGTTTATGAGCTGCTCAGCTTTTGTAATCCATTCCCCAATTACTTTAAATGGCTCTGGTAAACAGAGGTCTAACTGCCATTGCCAATTTTTCATCTGTAAGAATAGGTACCTATGATAAATATTACGATACTAAACATCATTAAATAATAACTGGAATTTCCTTTACAAGATTATCTAATAACGTCCAAAGCTTTTCTAATTCTTTCCATGATTGTGCTGAAATACTAATTGACGAACCAGAATTACAAATTTTCTTTAGTCTGTTATATAAATGACTCATAGAAACGATTTCTTCTTGGGCAGTTGAAAATTCCTAATAAAATTGTATAAGTAATATTATTCAGTTCTACACTAAAATGGTAGAAAAATACTTTTATTTGTTATTTTTATAATTACTCACCAAATAATCTTGAGATAAATTTTGTGACCAAGATAGGTATTGAGTTTTTTCAGTTAACCATGTTAAAAGAAGATTATAGTCTTTTTGAATTTTATCGATTGATTCACCACTTTCACTTCGAACTTCAGGATACTTATGCACAAATTGCGCTACATAAGTCATAACCGATCTTTCGTCCGGCCGATCAACATCGACATCCTAAAAATAGATTTCAGATAAATACCACGAGTATAAACTACATTAAAATATTGTAACCAATCTTAAACATACTTCTGGATCCAGTAAACGAGTGATTCCTAAATCTTGTTCAGCGACATTAAATGCAGTTTCTAGTCTGGTACGGTTTGTTTCATTTCTCAAAGTAGTTATATCAATTAAATTTGTTTGTATAGTATCTATAATAGTGAGGAAAGCTATGCCATCCCTCCAACTTGGTCCAAAATCTTTTACTTTTATATTACTCTCCCTAAATTAAAAAAATATATATTAAAATTTAATTATCTAAAGAATATTTCAACAGTATAATTATTATCAATACTAATCAAATACGTACTTTGGTATTACGGTTCCAACCCACTTTAACAATGTCTTTTTAGCACCATCAGCTTTTCGATTAATTTCCATCGTGGGAGATCGAATGCTTTCCAGGCTACTCGTGCTTCCACTAAAAGAGTAATTCAATGACGAGAGTCCTTTTGTATTTTCTTCAATCTGTTAGACATCAATAATGAAGTTTAAAAAACAGATCAGAATATAATTCATAATTTATTTATTAACATTCTACAAGTTGCGACCTTTTTTTTTTTTTTTTTAATTGTGAATAATGTTCGAAATGTTTATCTATACTCACTTCATTATTTGTTACGGTAATTCCAGTTTTACGAAGCTTAGAATTTAATTTTACAATAGGTAATTTTTTAATATAAAATGTATAAAATGTATATTATAATTAATTACCTGAAAATATAAAATTATAGTCCAAATAAGCCCTAAAACTATTGGAGGTCGCCCATCCACAATGTCAGCAGAATTTATATTTACTAATTTGATCTAAAATATGTATACACACATAAATTATTATATAAACAAATTTTGAAATCTTTAATTGATATTATTTAATCATAAGGTGTGTTACTTACCCGTTTACTTTGTAAAAATTGTATAGCAGAGTTTACGTTACTCAAAAAATGAGGTCTCCTCATGTTACGACCACGCTCGATAGCCTTAAACAATTTGTATTTTCAAAATAACGATTTTACTTTAACTGTGAATTTTTAATTAATATTTTACCAGTCTTTCTCCTGATAAAACTTCCAACAATGCAAGTAGCTTAGTACCATCTTTAAGATCTTCGATCAAATCGTCAATTTTCAGTGGCGGTATCCTCTACAACACAACAATGATTAAAAAAATACAAAGAATATACGTACATTATTTTAATATTATGTGTAACGTACTTGACTCAGATACGAGTTTATCCAGTTAACAAAGGTTTTCTTTTGCACTCTCTCCTGTTCGTCTATACGATACAAAACACACGAACACCATATCAATATATTAGTTACATGCACCTTAAGGCTGTTTTATTCGAAAAAATAAATAAATAATAACACAATGAACTCATAAAGATTTCGTGTGCAATTGTAATTTGTAATATTGTTTCAAAAACATGAAATATATAGGACAGTAGATCACTTGTTTTTATTTCAGGTTGTCACCGTGCCTGTATTTGAACTGACATAATAATAATGCAAAGAGGGACAAATGTTTAATCGATACTATTATATATTAAACGGCTTAGGAATATCGCACTGCAATTTCATTTCTAAACGACAAAAATCAAATAATCAACCAGACTGTTACTGATACAATCATCATCATTGTTGTCATAAACCATCATAGATAGAATGTCACATTAATATGTGAATAATAGTTTTTAAATGTAATAAAAATATGTTCATTATACAATGAACAGCAGTTAAAAAAATACTACGATAAAAAGAATATAGTAACCATTGAAACATTTAGCAAAATTTGTGTGCAAAAATCAAAACTAAAATGCCGTTAGTCTACTAAATAAATAATAAGGAAAAATAAGAATAATTATTAAATTTTCATTATACGACATACGATTGATACAGAATTTTTAAAAGTTATAGTTAAAAATAAAAATAAGGTCACCATTAAATTTCCTAGAATATTGATAAGACTGTGTAAAATAATACATTATTATAAATCTTATATACTTACCTAGATAATTTTAAATCTAATTGGATATATTTTTATACATTTTTATAAAAGTATAATATGATATATGGTTTAATTGCTTATAAAATAATATGTAGTAGTTTTTAATAAGTATAAGAGATATTACTGATTATTTTTTTAGTTAGCTAAATTATTTTAAAGTCAATTTGCAAATTAGTATTTAGTACTTTCTTATTTCGATAACGATAAACAGAACCCATTAAATCTATTTATTTAAACTTTATACATTGCAAATATTAAATAGGTTAGATGGTAAATATATTGATAAATTCAGGCATTTAAGGAAAAAATTATTCAGGTTTTGGATTTTCGAATTATGAAGGTTTTATACAAGTGTCATAGACTTATTAATTAATATAATCATTAATAAATTCTGTAAAATAAATAAAACGATTATAATATGTAGGGCAGTGGCGTAACTAGGACTAAAATGTTGGTGGCCTGGAGGTATTGTAGACCCCCATCTGATATTAATTGAAAAGCAACCCGTTGTTATATGTAAACATATTGCCATGTTGAATAAATCTTGAAAAATGAGCGTATAGATAAATCTCAAAAGTGATAAAGAAAAATAGTTTGAATATTTTGATATTTTAACTAAATTGTTTTAAACCTCCCTACCCACAATTAAGTCACAACCTACGTGTATTGTTTGGATTAGAATCAATGCAGTGGCGGAACTACATATGATTGAAGGCGGGATTTTCGTGAAATGCATTTTATTCATATTTTTAACGGAGGCTTGACTATTTTCCTTGAMTCACATTTAATATTATTTACCTCCATCAAGAATCACTACATATTATTATTATCGTTATTGGTGAAGACGTTTGCTCAAAACCGTAGTAGAAAAAAATCATTTTCATTGTAAATAAAATATTATTATTACTCTTTCCAAAATTATAATTCAAAAAATTATTAATTTACTATAAATGTATATATTTTTTTTATTGCACACAAATAAACAGCCCAATGTTTAGAAATTTAAATTACAGATATAGGGCCTCCAAAAAAATTGTATCCACAGGCCTCAATGATCGTAGTTCCGCCACTGAATCAATGTTAGTATAGAAATTTAACTTTAACGCATGCACATATAATATACACATTACACATACATATATTTTATGATAATGCTTTAAGCTTTTAATACATGTTTTAATTAGATAAATGGTGGTAGTTTAATGTTTGAAAACTTTTTTTCAACAATAAACCAATAAGGAATGAGTCAAAGACATGCATACGTATGTTACATTCAATAACGACGGAAAGACGGTATGAAAATAATAATAATAAAAATAAAAAAAACGGTAGGTACATTTACCATAAACTATTGTAAGTTCTACACCGATTTTATATTTTAGGATATCTGAATAAATACAATTTAATAAGAGGCGGCTTTCCGCTTTCTTATACCATCAAGTATTATTATAAATGCAATCAACATTTACAAATATATAACTTTTTGTTTAAGCAAGAAATTAGATTGATGTTACTTGTGAAAAATAAAAATTTACCAATCAAGTAGACTGTAGAGCATACAATAATTTAATATTAGATCTTATAATAACATCATTGTAATCCTTTGCAGTGATTACTGCAAGATTTCGTATAGGTACATTTTAAACTGACAAAAATTAACCAGTGTAACGACTTCACAGTAGGTAGGTAGTAGCCAGTAGGTAAATTATTGAATAGGAATAGGTATGTAACTATTATAATCAAAACAGGTTTAAATGGTGGTAAGGTATAATTACACGTTTAAGTCGATACGTAAAGTAAATGTAAATTAATAGTTAATATAATAATATATTAACATAAGATAAAATAATATTTTAACTTTTAATATTTAAGTTTATCTATGTCCATATTATTATGGCGTGTTCAACGATAATGGTAACACGAAATATTTCGAACGCTTGACCTCAAAGTTTAATAGGTTATTTTTTATTACATAAAGGACTCACTACATATAAAAGACTTACTATGTATTATACTATACATTAATTTTTAATATAAATTCAGATTTTTAATCATTTTTCAAGAATGTATGAATAGAAAAAATTTTTTTTTATCTAAAATACTCGATTTTAAGTATTAGGTATAAGACAGTTGACATGTTAAGTTTTTTTATCATCTTTAAAAATAACTGATTGAGAGTGAGTTAATATTTCAATATTTTCTGCAAATCGTTTTATTGCGATTTTTTCAAATGTCTACCTAAGATTTTACAAAAATCACCATATCCATGTAATTTTGTATGATTTTTTTGAAACAAGCTCATGGCAACTGAAACTAACAATCAGTCAATTTGAGAAGAAAAAACTTAATATTAGGCCAGTCAATTAAAAAAAAAAACCCAGAAATTTGTTTTGCTCCACATCTGCAGAAAAAACAAAAAATTTTAATTTTAATGCAGTGTAAAAATAGTGTAATATACATAGGTATATACTACACAAAACCCTTATTAATATTTATGAATAGGTATCATTTAAGAACACATTAAAATATATTATTTGTTTATTTGATATTAAATTATATAGCTAATTGATTATGTTTTATATTATTGATGATATACATAAAAAATCTGTCATATACATATAAATTTATTTTTTATAAAAAGTAAAAATCTTAAAAACATATAATATCTAAAAATTAACCTTTTGAATTGTAATTTTTATTACTATAATAGTTCTCCGTCAATATTGTAATCTGTTTTATGGGATACAGACTTGGAGTAATAAAATAGGTACCCACCTACATAAATAATTGGATATGCAGAATAAGTTTTACAAGAAACCCATATTATAGCCTTAACAGTTTTATTTATTAAAAAAGCACTATTTTGACATCGCGTGACTTAAAATCATAGTTATTACCTATTAAGTTATATTAGACAATCAAATAGTTATATGTTTATGAAACTTCATAGAAATATTATTTTAATTGATCTGGTAATAAGCGACAAAATTTAAATTGGACCATCGACATGTTTTAAAAACGTTTCGTTTAAGTATCTCTTTAAGATTAATTTTAAAAAATAAATGAATTTTTAGGTAATAACCTAAGTAATTTATATTTTACCGAGGCTAATTATAATTATAATTATAATTTAAAATTAAATAATGATTTTTATTTTTAATAATATTTTCCATTAATATACAGGTTTTTACTTTTTATATTATTTAAAGACAGCAAATTAATAATAAGACTGAAAATGATTTCACAATAGCCTATATATTTCATCCCGGGATAGCGGCTAATGGCTATAAATAAGATAATATATAAAACTGCACAAAATGTACTTTCTGAAAGTCCACTGAAATTGATTAAACTTTTTTGATGCTATTTTAATGTCAGCCTCTATAAATAGATTGTTGTGCGGTTGGATTTTTAATCAGGCGGTCATTATATGGATTATATTCTAATGTTCTGTTTGTTAGATAAATCGACGGGAAATGGACTGAAATTAATTTAAAAAAAAAAAAAAAATTCTATAACAATAAACTCTAACACATGAATGATATATCTCGATTACAGAATGAATAAACCACGAATGTTAAATGGTGTAATAATTACGTTGACATTTTAATACTAGCGATATCATTATAGAATAATAGAATATATTATGTCTAACACATTAATATGAATTTGTAAAAATATATTAACGAGTGTTTTATAAATTTCGAAAACCAGTAGGTACTTATGAAGAATTAGCTCAAGTCACATTGAAGTCTATTTTGTTAAAAACCTTTATTACTATGTAGTATGTGGTATTCCACCAAAATGTTAGAAATATATCATTATCTTATATTATATAGGTATTTTTATTGTGCAATGCATATTATTTAATATTGCGTTTTAATTGACCATACCATGTGGCATGTATACAGCTGTGGATAGAATAAAATGTGTTAAGAAAATAGTTTTAATAACTTTTTTTAACATCTAATATTTGAGAACATTGCTTACTTTTTATTTCTTCAATATGCAAGTCAAATTGTGATTGAGTACCAACGAATGATTTTCTCCAAGTATTCGGAGACGAGAGACTATCTCTGGATGAAGATCTACTCATTGAACCTTCTCGGGTAAATGATAACGAATGTTTGGCAACGGGATTTGCTTCCGGGCTACTAATAGTTTTTACACTTTTGTGTACTGTTACCATATTCACAATGACCATTTTGCCCTTTTTCCGACCATCTTTTGTATATACATCGCGTTCTTCGAGTACTTGTTCAAACGTTT